ACTAGATGACCCCCTGAGGTCCCTTCCAACCCTGATATTCTATGATTCTATGATGATTCTATGAAAAGACACCCCAGGTTCAAAAACTAAGGGGAAACAGCTGTTCAACAGTCCAGATTGTACCCTGGGTAATGTCACATTCTTATGTTTTATATGTTGCAGGTCAAAGTGAAAATGAAAAGACAAAAAACAATTCAACAATTTTTCCACTCAAAGGCCTCCAAAATCAGCCAAGATGAAGAACATACCAAGAATCAGGAATATATCAACATGACATCTGAAGGTTCAAATGGTGTATCTACATCCGAACAGTCTGAAGCACAAATACAACTACCTACTGAAGAAACAGTGTCTCCACAACCTGAAGGCAGTTCCCGATGTTTGTCGGTCAAGCTTTTTCCATTTATTGAAGTTACAAAAGGTGGTGCACCTCTTGCAAAAAAGCTTACGAAGAAGGAAAGCTTCCCACTGCTACAATTGGTAATACTGGAGGATCTTAGTTTGCCAGACCTGTCAGCAAAGCCAATGCTGATAAACTACATGAAAAGGCTGCAAAACACCAAGCCTCTGTACTGCATCAACATGCAGAAAGCCTTATAAGCCAGTTACTGTCAAAACCAAGTCTAGAAGTACTTAATGAAGCCATTTAAGAATGCTGAATGCACAACGTAGTTTGTGGGAACAAACATGGCGGTCGCATCATACTTTCTATTTAAGCAAGAGATACCACACACTACAAACTGGAGGTCAGTGTTAAGTGCATTGTCACTTGTTAACCCTGAACAAGACCGGCAAATGCTCACTTACTTTCTGCAAGAAACTCAAGTAAGTGGTTAGAAGCATGTGGTTAGAAGCATTAAGTCATTGTGTACGTTATCTTGATGTCAGTGGTAGGCCAGTGGATGCATTTCTAGATGTTCAGGTTATAGAAGACGCATCGGCTGCATCTGTGACAACCCACATCTTAGAAGAGTTAAATGTTTGTAAATTGGAACCCAAACATGGCTGCTTGTGCATTTGATGGAGCAGCAAACTTCTCTGGAAGGCATGGTGGAGTACAAGCTTTGCTCAGAGAAAAGTGTAACCCTAATCTCTCCTATACACACTGCAAAGGCTGTCTACTCCAGCTAGCACTAGTACGAGCTGCATAATCTTCAAAAGACATTAAAAAAGCCATAATTGTAATGACTTCATTGTACTGTTGTTGTTTTTTTTCAGCAAGAGTCCAAAAAGACTGAATGTATTGGAAGAAATAGAAGATTCTCTGGGACTGAAGTTCAAATTAGTCCAAGAGAAAACCCACTGGCTTTCTCATGAGCGATCCTTGGCTGTTGTCTTAAAATTACTGCAACCCTTATTACTGGCTTTGGAAAGTATCTACCAAGAGGGAACCGATCTAAGTAGTGAGACTAGTGCACTACTTTTGCTATTATGTTCAGAGAAAACAATCACTATTTTCTCTCTTGTAAGTCTACTGTTGAAACCACTTGGGTCATTAAACAATGCCATCTAGGCATCTGCTACAACAGTAGTAGATCTTTGTCCAGCAATAAAAGCTACAGTTGGATCATTCAGAGAAATATCCATTGAAAACGTACTGGAAGAAGCAAAGACTTCAATCCAAAAGTTAACTAATGAAAGACTAATGACTCTTCCTTAAGCGAAGAGGACAAGAAGTGTTTAAGCCAGCTGAAAAAGTACATTGACTTGATTCTTACAAATCTACAACAGCAACTTCTGGATTCTACTCTGTATAGCTTTTACAGATGTCTGTCTTATAAAACACCGGCAATTGAGTGGAATAAAGCACTGCCAGCAATGGGGCTGCCATGTGATCAGGACAGAATAGAGAATTTGAACGTAGAGTGGACTGCCATGCAACGAACGAATGAAGATTTGACTGCAGCTTCTTTTTTATCATTGTTAGTGGCTCAACCTGATCTTTGTGCTATGTTTCCTGAGATGAAAGAAGTAGGAATTCATCTCTTGCTACTCCCAGTCACAACAGCTACAGTTGAGTGTTCTTTTTCATCATTGAATAGGATTTTGTGTTCTGAAAAAAGTCGCCTTCTGCCTGATCACATGAATGAACTAATGAGCCTATCAATTGAAGGACTGGAAGTACCGGACACACGAGAAGCCACCAAAGATGAACGCACTGCATTAGAGAAGTTCATTAACAGAGTTGTGCAAAATTACAAGAAATCAAGAAGGATGTAGATGTAATGCTTCACAGAAGGCTTGAATAGCCAACTTCATTTGTGTGATGATTTTAAAATGAGTTAAATCTAATAAAATACTTGTGGAACATTTTTCAGTTTTTACTCTGGTGCCATACAACCCACCTTCGTCCTCATCGTCTCACCCCTTGGCTTTCACCCCCCCCTGTAAATTCAAACACCGCCTCTAATTTCAATTCCTGGGGAGAAAACAATGTGGGGTAATCATGGGGAGATGGCGGACAATTAGCCCTAAGGGGAGGGGGGAGTTGACCCTGACTCGGGGGTGGGGGCACAAGGGAATGCTTGGTTCTTCCCCACAGCTGGGTGGGGGCACGGGGATACATAGTTATCCTGGTGCAGGGTGAGTGACACCGTACCGCCTCCCCCCTCCACACACACACAGGGGCAGATTGTCCCTGCTTTGAAGTAACCACTGACATGGAGTGCAGGAAGGCTATAATTTCTGACAGGTGAGACCGTTCCCATATTAGGCAGTTCCTGATTACTATTCATCTATCTTGCTGCAGGCAAGGTTGGATCCCATTTTAATTCCCACTTGCCAAAATCTGTTCCCCATTGCCAGTAACCATTTTTTTGGCAGATGAGGGAAATTTTCCTGGGTTCTCTTTCTTGTCCCAGTTGGTGGGTGAGGATGTTTTCGTGTTTGACTGGGAATATTCATGGAGATTGCTCAGGACGGTTTTAACCACATACATTTGTACTGTATTGCAGCCACAACATGTTATAATGTGTTTTGGTCCCAACAGGCCTGGTGGTCTCATAACTGGTTACCCAGCATGGTTGATTATTTTGAACCTGTGTTGTGCATGAGCTGGCTTATAAGATGGTTTGGTCATTTTTTAGTTATAGAATCATAGAAATGTAGGTCTGGAGGGAACCTCAAGAGGTTATCTAGCCCAGTGGTTCTCAATCTTTTGGGCTCAGGACCCATTTGTAAATGTTTATGGTCCATTGTAACCCAGTAAATAGTCTAGGGATGGAGGCCTTGGGGTGGTTTTGGTTGGATCCTGCATGGCACTCATCCCACAGTGCTGGCTCCTGCAGCTCCTGTGCTGTGGGGCTGGCTGCAGGAGCCATTTGTGTGAGTGGAGTTGTGACCTGCTCATGGGGTTACAGTGTCGCTTACTCAAATTTGGCCTACCCAGACTCCCGTTGTCATGATAGATGGGCCAAATCTGAGTGGCGCTGGGACCCCAGAGGTTGCAGTGCCTGGAACAGGGAGGCAAGCCCAGCCAGCCCAGGAGCTGTCACGTGACCATTTGAAACACCAATTTTGGGTACTGACCCGCGGGTTGAGAAACCCTGATCTAGCCCATCTTCCCCCCACCCCACCCTGCTGAGGAAGGATTAACAAAAAAAAGACCAAAATTCCATGCTTTAGCCAAGATCTATATCTAGGATAAAGCAAATTTTTGTTTTAACCTGGTTAGTACAGTTTAATAATAATACCTAGATTTTCATCACTAGATCTCAAAATGCTCTACGAAAGAGGTCAGTGTCGTTACTGCCATTTTTGCAGAGGAGAAAATTGAGGCACAGAGGTGTAAAGTGACATACCTAAGGTCATGCAGCAGGCCAGTGGCAGAACTGGGAATAGAATTGAGGTCTCTTGAGTCCCAGCCCAGTGCTCTATCCATTCTGGTGGACCAAATCATCTTACTACCTGGTTGGGCTACATGAGGGTGTATAAAATTTGGTTCTTGCTGCCATAGAGATGAGATGTTTTTAAAGAATTCCAAGGATCGTTGTTGTTTTTCATGGCTCTGCGTCACCCTCAACAGAATAGCTTCTAATATTAAAGGCTAAGTGCTGGCTGTTGATGAGTATTTAATGGCTGCTTCAAATGACTGTCCTCCTTGCACAACTGGTGTTTGACTTATTATTGTGAAAGCCAGTACCATATCTACAGTATGAAAGGCGCTAGCTATAAGGTGTTAATTCTCCTTACAATATTTCAGCACAATGCAAAGAACTTCACGACTGAAGAGAGAGCTGCATCTGTTGACCACAGAGCCTCCCCCAGGCATTATGTTCTGGCAAAACAAAAACCGGATGGATGAACTAGGAGCCCGTATGTATTACCATCATGGTTTGGGGTTTTTTTGGGGGGTGGAGGTGGTATGTGTTTCACTAAAATTCTCTCTGCTGTGGTAATGTTTACTGGGCAGTTTCTGTACTTAGCAATTTGGGGATGAAATTAACCCCAGTCCATGACATTTTTGTTTGATTCTTGTCCACTCTTCATCTTTTTTTTTTTTTTTTAATTCCCCTTCTTTATGTTCCCTATTGATTGGATCCCTGGTCATGTGGCTAGGCGGCGTGGACCCGGGGGAGTAGTTAAGGAAACAGCCACACTGGTATGCTCCCTGTAACATGAGTTACTGTTGCTAGAAGTAGCCGTAACCCCCTCTCATGGCTTTTCAACACTGCTGAAGGAGTCTGTGCATGTAGGGGGTTGGATGTGCTTTGCTAACAAGGTTTTATAGATGACTTGGAGACTCAGGTTTCAGGTTTCCTGCTACGAGGAAGGCCAGGCATCCACAGAGTTCTCCCTCCATAACTTTAGATTAACTCCATTTCAGGCACTGACTTCCAGAAGAAACAATACAGGGGAGCAGTATTTAGGATTATGGCCCTATAATCCTAAACATTAGCTTTGCCACCTTAACCCAAGAGATTGTTTGGGTCATTAGGCCAATTCTCAGTCCTGGTTCTAGGGCTGAACATTATTTCAACGTCTTTTTCAAGTATTGGCTGAAAATTCACCATAGTTATTGTATCATGCTCACAGTCTGGAACTTGAGAAATTTTCTCTCCTTCAGAAGTTGAAATTGGCCATGACTCCTGAAGTATGAGAAGGGAGGAAGTATCAAGGCTTCGCCTGGGTGTAAAGATAGGAAGGTCAGACACACGGAAGGAATTAGTGAAATAACATACTCTTTCTTGACTATGCGGAGCACTCGCTCAGCTGAGCTCCAGCAATACAATTTTTGTCAGTGAAGAGGTTCCAACCTGTAAGTCACTCTTTTTTTCTTCTTCTTCTTCTTCCAAAATTAGATAACTAATGAATGTTTAGGCTCTCCCTAGTTCTCACTTAAAACATAGGGGTTATTGACCTTACCGCACAGCAGGGTAGAACAAAATGTGACGAGGTGGCAATGGTCACTTCTGTTGGCAGATCCGGACATTGCTACAGTTAGAAACGGTGTGATGGGAATGCACGACTGTAGCAGAAGCATGATGAGAGTGGGAGCGGGGGGAACACTTACCCATTTTGAATGTTATAGTTGTCTAATTTTTTTTCTTTAAGAAATTTTGGGTGGTGCAAACACGCCATATGATAAAGGAGTTTTCAACTTGGAAGTAGTTGTTCCTGAAAGGTAATTAAATCACTGCATCTAGGAAGGTGGGCAGAAGGGGGAACACACATAGTAAGAAGGAATTTTTTTTTAACTTCCTGTCAAACATGTCAGTTTGTGTGAGATACGAAGAGGTGGTATCCTGTATATTAGGAGCATTGGAGCAATGGGCATAAAGTGTAATAGTTTGGTTTTTTGCCTTCAGCCTCCCTGTTTGTGACATTATCAATCAGTTTTTAGGTGAGAGAGATTTTATTAATGTACTTATTTATTTTGTAATATGAAGATTTCACTTTCAAACTCCCCAGGTGTGTAACAATGCACAAAAAAAATCTAGAAATACTTTGTCAGGATCCTTAAATTATTTTGATGCCTTTAAACAATTTTGAAAGGGGGGGGGTTGAAAGTACCTGTATGGTGCATAAATTCATGGAGAATAGGTTCATCAATGGCTATTAGCCAGGATGGGCAGGAATGGTGTCCCTAGCTGCTGTTTGCCAGAAGCTGGGAATGAGTGACAGAGGATGGATCACTTGATGATTACCTGTTCTGTTCATCCCTCTGGGGCACCTGGCATTGGCCACTGTCAGAAGACAGGATACTGGACTAGATGGACCTTTGGTCTGACCCAGTATTGCATCTTTTTCCTGTTTACAGCTGAAGTGAATTGATGTAACTAAGAGATGTCAGGGAAAATGAGAAAAGCAAGTAATCTGAGGCAATGAGAAGTTAGCTTCCGAGCAAAAGGGAATTTAGTGCTGTGCAAAGGACAGAAACCAAACTGAAAGCAGTCAAGGCCATTGTGTTAGAGGGCATGACCAGAGATGGGGCTGTTTCCTCCAAAAACTTGCTGAGGAGAAGATGGTTGGAATTTGCAGGTGGCTGGGGAGAGGACACTATAGTGTCGTTTGTGGTAATGTGGCAAATGGAATGCTAATGGAACTGAACATTCAATTTAGATTATATTTCAAATGAAATCTGTTTCTTTAACACCTGTTCTTTAAAGATATCCATTTGAACCCCCGAAGATTCGCTTTCTGACACCCATCTACCATCCCAACATTGACTCTGCTGGAAGGATTTGCCTGGATGTTCTGAGATTACCACCCAAAGTAAGGCAATGCTACTCTAGTGGGAATCAACAAAGTTACAGATGATGCTAAACTCCCCTATTGTCCTGCCTGTAAAAAGCTTCACTGATATTTAATATTGGCTCTTGTTTACATGGATACTCCTGATACAGGCGACTGTATAATGCATGCCATTGGTTACTCACTAAGATGTATTTTCCTTTGCTTTTTTTGATGCTTTAAGGGCTGGGATTTTCAAAGGGACCTATGAGTCAGGTGCCCCTCTGAAAATCACAGCCTGGATCCTGATACAATACAGATGTAGACGACACTGCAGGTCAGTGTTAATTAAGTTGGAGTGAGATCTCTGTGTCACTAGAATTGCTCTCTTGAAATGGCCCGAATAGAAGCTGTAGGGCTAATTGGTATGAGCACTGTGCCTCTGTCTGTCTGCTGTAGAGCAAGTTAGCACTGTAGCTGTGGTGAACCAAAAGAGTGAGAGCCAGGTCGGTTTTTCTCCTTTGTAGGAGAGGTCAAAACCTTACTGGTTTGAGATCCACTAACCTGGCATCAGATGTTTTCCCTGCTGTATAAACTGACCACCTGGTGGTAACCACCTTATGTACTGCATTGAGGTCTGGAAACTCCAGTAGGAAAATTTGTTTTCTGTATGTCAGCTAATGATCAGACTTCTTCTCCCTGTTAAGCTCTGTTTTTATTATTCTATTGCTGTGAAGGGTGCCTGGAGGCCATCCCTGAATATCTCCACATTGCTGACCTCCATACAGCTTCTGATGAGCGAGCCTAACCCTGATGACCCCCTCATGGCAGACATAGTACGTACTCTTCTTTTGTTCCCTTGGTGCAAATGCTGGGGCATGCAAGTTAGAGCAGAGATTATATAGTACTTGTGCTCATTCTTCTATATAGGGAACTAAGAGTGTTCACAGGTGCTTGATTAAGTGTCTATCCTCCTTGTCTCTTGCTTTATTATTTCTAGTCCTCGGAGTATAAATACAACAAGGAAGTGTTCATCAAAAATGCCAAACAATGGACTGAGAAGCATGCAAGCCAGCAAAAGAGGGTAAGAAATGTACCATGCTTTGACTCTGCTACAAAGGAGTTGGGTGTAGGCTAATCTTCACATGTATAATCTTGCTAGTCCTCAGGAAGTAATATGAGTGACGCAGATATAGGCATCACTTTCAATAGCTCTAACCCACTGACCCCAGTGCATTTTTGGATGTCTATTTCAAGTTCCAATTCAGTATTATTTTATTGGGAGTGGATTGCCTGTCTTCATAGAATTGAGTCCCTGGGTTGCCAGGGCTGTGATTGTGCCCTAATGTGAACTCTCTGAATTTAACTTCGCTCTTTAAGAAATTTTTGTTAATTCTGTTTAGGTAAACTTTACTTTGTTTCCCTACCCTTGTTGTCATAGCTAGAGATTCCTGTGCATGTGGCCTAGGATACACTTAAAGTTTTTCCGTATAACTATACTGGTATAGTTATGCAGGCAAAACCTTCCTAGTGTAGACACAGCTTATACCAGCAAAAGGACTTTTTTGCTGATATAACTGCAGCTAGGTGTACGCTATAGACTTCTACTCGGATAACTGTCAGTTGGGATGTGAAGAGGTGTGTGATCCCTGACTGACAGAGCTGTGCTGGCAGAAGCCCCTAATGTAGATGCAGGTATTCCAGCAAAGCTGCTCTTCTACCAGTATAGTTTGTGTCATTTGTGATGTGGTTGGAGAGGTGGTTTTACCATATAGGTAGACCATATTCTGTCGGCGTAGCTGTGTCCACACTAAGTGTGCTTTCCTGGTATGGTATATTGATATTCCTGTACTAGTAAAGTGCTCCTAGTGTAGACATAGCTTGTGTCTACACTAGGGCTCTTTGCTGGTTCTAAAAACGTTTATTTAAAAACATCACACCCATAACTGACATTATTATACTGGCAACATTTCTAGAGTATACCTGACCTCTATGTCAGGTGAGTCCTTCTACTTCTTGTGTCTGCTCTGCATGGACTTACGAAAAGTGCCCTGGGATATTTTTAAGAGTTGGGGTCTGTCAAAATGTCCCTTCCTGTTGTACCTTGTGCTGGCTTTCTGTTTGTGTAATATAAATGTACAGTTATATTTGGGAAATGTATGGTCATATGCAGATTATAGAAGGGGATTATGTCCTCTTAAAGAGGGGATTGCTCATGACAACTGTCACAGGGTGGCTGGCCCCTGTAACTGAGTAGGTCCAACTCCCCTATGCCAGAGCAGGTGCTCCCAGGTAAGGGAGCAGGGTTGCACCTGCTGCTGTAGAGTGAGTTCCACTGAAGGGCTGGCTATGAGAAGGAACTGGCTGATGGAGAGTGAGACAGGAAATTGCAGGAGGCAGGACTGCCAGAATCCCTGTCGAGGAGAGGTATTGAAAGCCTGAGATTCAAAGGGTGAGCTGAGAATGTTTTTGTTGGTTTCTTTAAGTTTGGGAATAAAACTGCATTAAAGAGACTGTGGGTGTGGCAGAGTGTTTTGGCAAGCTGGGAAGGAGCCCTGCCTTGTGACAACATCCCTCTACTAGTATTTGTGAGAGGTTAAATGAATTTAAGAAAAGTTGATTCCATACTTTATTATTTATTTGTATTGTGGTCATGCCTAGAAGTCCCAGTCAAGGCTTGGGACCCCTTTGTGCTAGCGCGCGCACACACACGCACACACACACACCACGCCCCCGAGGGTCCCTGCCACAAAGACTTTGCAGTCTGAGTATATATAATGAGACACAGTGGCTGGATATAACGAACTACTGCAATGATTATGATTAGAGTAGAAAGCAGAGGGCAGACACACCAGCTGCCCAGCCAATGTTATGTGCTTTGTAAGCATTACAAATGTACTAACCCTATATTCACAGGCATGGAAGGTGATGGTCACTCCTCTCTGTGGTTTTACCATGTGGGTAAAACATATAGGGCCTGCTATTCAACTCTTTTCCTTCTGTGTAGCTCCTGAAGATGGAGCTAGACATTTTAGTTCTCCAACAAATTTATTCTAGTCATAATGGACTGTGTCTCTAGCTGCCCTAGTGCTGAGGTGATGCTCAATGGGGACAAGGGAATTGGCTGTCAACCCACTGAAGACTTTCTGGCAGGTGGGTTTCCTTAGTATCATGTTTGTTTGGGAGAGATCTTTTATGCTGAAGCATATTAGTGAAAGGATGAGAGGATATAACTAGGCATCCTTCTGCACCCTCACCTGATGAAATGCCATGGTCAGGAGTCTTTCCAGAACTCCTTAGGCAACATTAAAAACATTTTCAGATAAAGTGTATACTTGAAGTCCTATGTTTAGGGTGGCTAATAGGCTCAGTAGGAGTTCCCTGGGATTTTACTCTTTGAGCAAGCTCCTGTATGTGTACAAAGTTGAGGCCCTACTAGACCTAGTGTGAAAGGAGTGAGGGCAACAGGTCTGTCATAGTGGTGATGGAGGAGAAATTGCCCCTTGCACAGCATGAGACAAATGGTTGTAGGTGCAGAATGCTAGGACAAGTTTAGAGATGTGGTCTCTTGAGGCAGAAAAACATGCAGCCAGCTGCTGCCCATTTCCACATGCTCAGCAAAGAGACTGTTTTAGTATTCTCCCCTGGATGTAATGGGAGGGAGTGGAGCTCGTGATAGAAGGGATGCTCTAATTTCTCAACATATCAGCTACGGAGAGATAAAAGAAGGCTACTTAGGGTCTGATTTTCCATTGTCCTGTACCGTGTGCTGTCATGTAGGCCAGTGTAAAGTGCTCAGTTGGCAGCGTTACTCACTTTGCACTGCTGTGAATGACTGCATGAGGTGCTGGACCGTGGAGAATCAGGTCTTAGATGTGTGGAGGAGAGGGAAAAGCAGGGACCCTGGTACTACCTGCCCGCAACTAGCTGCTAGGATGGATCGTGACTCAGAACTCTTCATAGTGCTTGATTAGAGAAGTGCAGCAACTGCGGAATAGCTTCTGTTTATTGACCTTTCAAATAAAATGGCTTTAACAAAGGAGTCAAAGGCAGCCTTCAGCCTCAGTTGGTTAGTGTTTCCTTTTTCCGCTCAAATATCCAGCAAGCTGTAGAGGAAACAACTAGAATTTTTTGCAGTTGTAACACTAGGAGGCACCTGCACCCTTGACAATTGTCTGACTTCTGGAAAATAGCTGGGCAGTCTCATTCCCCAGACTAATGAAAATGAGGTACTTGTTGACCAACTTACCTTCCTACTGGAGAATGTACTTGTCTTGTTCCTCCAGTAGGTGGTGTATTTGGTTTTGTATTATCTCAGCTTCTCATGGCAAATGGGGACTGATGTCTGACAAAGTCCTTGCCTCCTAGGCTCTGCACAGCTCTGTGCCTGCCCCTTGGCTCACTGCTTCCACCAACCCCTGTTCCACTTGGGCCCTGTGCTCAGCTAATCCTGCCTTTTCGTCACACTCCCTTTTTGTCTTTCTCCCCCAAGCACCTCTTTGGGCACCCTGTGTGCCCCAAACAAGCTCTCTGATCCTGCGTGCCATGGAGCCATTGTGCTATCCCAACACCCCATTTCTTCTGCTGATCTCCCCTAACCTGACCACTCTCCTCCCTTAAATTAGTAATTTAAATCACATTTTAAAACTATGGGGAACTGTTTATATGGGGTTAATCAGCCTTGTGACATTACTTTGTGTAAGCCTTGTCCTCCCCTATCTGCATCCTTGAGCATTGTCTGTCCCAAAGTCCTGTCTAACTTAGGCTGTAAGCTCTTTATGCAGGGATTGTTTCTTTCATTTGAAAGGTCTGTCTCCTATGTATACAGGCCTTGCTTTTGTGACTGACAGGTCCATTGCAATGTAACTGTCACGGGAGGCCGTGATGGTGCAGGGTGAGGAGATCCCTTGGGTAACAGTCTCTCAGCCCTATAGGTTTTGCTGATGGGGACTGAGACCTTGAATGTGCCCAGTTTTCAATGGGGTGCCAGTATTGTGAGCAGAGTAGTAGGATAATGCACACCTGGCACCTGTGTTGCTGCAACATTCTGAACTAATGGCAGGTTTGTTTAAGATTGTACCTAGCTATGAAATCAACAGAGAATTACAGTAATCAAGCCTGGAGGTCCATGAATGTGTGGATCAATGTGGCCAAGCCTGCACCTGCCAGGAGGATGCAAAGTTGTCATAGCAATGGAGCCCTACAAATCTGCAGATATCCCTTTTATATCTGCGGATATCCATGGATCACGTTTGCGGCTTGCGGATCGGATGCAGGTACAAATTTTGTATCCGTGCATGGCTCTGCATACTGGCCGTAAGTTGAAAAGGGCATTCCCCTGTGGCCGTAGCTACTGGAATATCCAATCCAAGTGGACACTAGGCCTGTGGGTTGTTTCAAGGATTTGAGAGGGAGGCTGTATGATGCAGGGTGATATTGCAAAGGTGCTTCTTTTCTCCACCAGCTTCACCTCAATCTTTCCAGTCAGCTGCTCTCCTCTAGTTGCTTATTTTAGCTTGTATTCCTTAGGTGCCCTGTAACTCCTCTGTATCCTGTTATGTACTTGGGGGAAAAAAAGACAAGAAGAGTGTTAAGGTTGCAAAGTCAAGCACTTGAGAGTTAGGAAGTGTCAGAGTTAAGGTTGCTTGTACAATCTGAATTTGCCCCCTTCTTTCATAATACTCAGTCTTTAATTAAATGATTACACACTTATTATTTATTTGTATTACTGTAGTAGCTAGGAGCCCTAGTCATGGACCAGAATCCCATTGTGCTATAGGTAAAGACAAAGTACAAACTTTTTGCCAGAGCCCCCCGGCTTCATTCAGTGCAACAGATGGACAGTATTCACTGACATGGTTATTCAGTGTTTTTATTCTCCTCATTGAGTTACCCTGTGCCTCACTTAGTACATATCATCCAAATCCTGCTCTGGAGACAGAATTATTAATTCCCTTGTGGGCTTTTCTAGGGTGCTCTTCATTACAGTATCTGAGTTTTCAGAAACATTAATGAAATTATCTTCACAACAGCCCTATTGAGGTGGGGAGGCATTAATTTAATCTTATAGTGGGGGAACTGAAGCACAGATATTGAGGCCAAAATAGCCCAAGTGTCCACAAATTTTGGATGCCCAATTTGAGACGGGCGGGGCCTGATTTTTCAGGTCACTTAGCATTTTTATGGCACTTCGTATGTTCAAACAACAGTTCCCATTGATTTCAATTATCAGTTGTAAGTGCTCAGCACTTCTACAAATCAGGCTTCAGAATCTCAAGTTGGGCACCTAGAAAATGAACACAGTGGCCACCTGTGAAAATTTTGATTTTACGTGACTTACCCAGCATCACATAGGAGCTCTGTGGCCGAATCCAGTTCTTCAGGGTGGCATTCAACTGTTCTAACCACGAGACCATCCTTTCTCTTCCTGTAATTCACTGCCTTATTCACGACACAGTTAACTTCTGCAACAAATGAGGCTGGGCTCCTACCTGTTAAGAGTGCTAACGCCAATGTAAGATTCAGGCCTGTATTTTTGCCTAAGATAGCATTTTGGGTTTTGCTTGCCTGTTTGAGTCTTGATATACTTACATTCTTACTAATATGTGAGAACAAAGGACAAATGCACTGTGTATGTTGCTTCTGCCTAGCCAGATGGGTTTATTAGCATACTGGGAACAGATAAAGTGTGCACTCTAGTAACACAATCTGCTCTTAAGACTGCCTCAACTCCTCTCTCAAGGCAAGGTCAAGCAACCATTGGGGAGGGGCAAATGGGGATTGGGGGGAATGTATAAAACACTAAAAGGCCAAAGAAATGCCTGTCCCTGACCATAGCACAACCTCACTCCTTACCCCTGCCATGGGGTACAAAAGAGATGGGACGAAGACCCACGACCCCCCAAAATGGAACATGACCATAAGTTGTAAGGGGTGGGACTATGGGCTTGCATCTCAGGTATAATTATGCCTGCTGAGGAGGGCTGGGACAGGACACTGGGAAACAAGGCTCTGCGATATCAGAGTTGTGGGATTCATGCTTGCTGGAAACTAACCCCAATAAATTTCTGGTCTTCTGCTTTCTGTCTGGGTGACAAGAACCAGGGGAGAGGGTGAAGGGAAAACACTCTTACCACTATAGACAATGGCTTCTTTCACTATGCAAGCCTGATTTGTTCCCTGAACACTGCTCATCTTGTGTACTGAATGAGACGGGAGTCCTCGGGAAAAATAGTATGTGATCATGTAATTAAAGGGGAGGAGGGGAACTTAGGGCAGGTCTACACTAGAAAGTTAGGGCAACCCAGCTCTGTCACTCAGGGATGTGAAAAATTCACACCTCTGGGAGACGTAGTTAAGCTGGCGTAATCCCCAGTGTAGACAGTGCTAGGTTGACAAAAGAATTCTTCCATCAACCTAGCTACTGACTCCCAGAGAGGTGAATTTACGACAGTGACAGAAGAACCCCTTCCATCACTGTAGCGAGTCTCTACGCTACATCTATGCCACTGTAGTGTTTCTAGTGTAGACATAACCTAAGGCTCTACTTGTTATGGCTGTGGGGGGGGAAAACAACCTTGAAAATGTGACCCAAGTGTCACCATCTGCCTGAGTGAGAAACAAATAGTTCTAAAGTGTGAGCTGCCTCATTTGTCTCATGGGTGATGACTCGGATGTCAGTGATAATACTTTAAATAAAAACATAGTTAACTAGAGTTGGTTGACATTTTCACAGGAATGTGTTTTTTGGCACACTTTTTGATTAATTTTCCCCTTTTTTCCTTCACTCCCAAAATTCGGCAAGTCTGAAGAGTTAGAAAGTTCCAGAGTGGCAGAAGGAAACATAGGTGTGGAAGGGACTTCCTGGCTCATCAAGTCCAGTCCCTGCTATCACAGGCAACCCCATCAAATAACGTGGGTCATAAATTTATCAAACTCTGTCTTAACACTAGTTAGGTTGTTCACCCCACTGCTTCTATTGGGAGGCGGTTCCAGAACTCACTTTTCTGATGGCTAGAAACCTTCTAATTTCCAGCCTAAATTGGTCAATTTATACACTTTCAGGCCTGGTCTACACTATGACTTTAATTCGGATTTAGCAGCATTAAATTGGATTAACCCTGCACCCGTCCACACAAGGAAGCCATTTATTTCGAAATAAAGGGCTCTTAAAATCGATTTCTGTACTCCACCCCGATGAGCGGAGTAGCGCCAAAATCGATATTGTCATTTTGAATTAGGTTAGTGTGGCTGCAATTCAATGGTATTGGCCTCCGGGAGCTATCCCACAGAGCACCATTGTGACCGCTCTGGACAGCAATCTGAACTCGGATGCACTGGCCAGGTAGACAGGAAAAGCCCCACGAACATTTGAATTTTATTTCCTGTTTGCCCAGCGTGGAGAGCACAGGTGACCACAGATAGCTCATCAGCACAGGTAACCATGCAGGCCGATAATCGAAAAAGAGCACCAGCATGGACCGTACGGGAAGTACTGGATCTGATCGCTATATGGGGAGAGGATTCAGTGCTAGCAGAACTTCATTCGAAAAGACGAAATGCCAAAACTTTTGAAAAAATCTCCAAGGGCATGATGGAGAGAGGCCACAATAGGGACTCAGATCAGTGCTGCGTGAAAGCTAAGGAGCTCAGACAAGCCTATCAAAAAACAAAGGAGGCAAACGGTCGCTCCGGGTCAGAGCCGCGGACATGCCACTTCTACACCGAGCTGCATGCAGTTCTAGGGGGGGCTGCCACCACTACCCCACCTCTGACCGTGGATTCTGAGGCGGGGATAATCTCATCAGCTACACCTGAGGATTCTGCGGACAGGGAAGAGGGGGAGAAGGAGGAGGAGGACGAGC